ATCCTTCTCACCAGGGTGAGAATTTTAAGAGCTGCCATGAGGCAGCAGGACCCAAGAAAGAGAAGTGGGGAGCACTCTAGAGACAGTGTGGGCCTTCTCTCCAGTTGAGAGACACAAGGAGCCAAAAAGGGGATTGGGAGGAAGAACTTCCACTCTGAAGAATTATCACCAGAGTGACTTTTAAAAGCTGAAATTCAAAACCTGAGATCCACAGATGGGCTACAGAAGTCTGCAAACCTGAAATTCTACACAAAATTGTTTGTGTCTATACATTTTTTCCCCTAGGGGGTGTTTGCATAGTACCAGGTTGTCTAAAGGGTTTATGAACCATAAAGAGTTTCAGGACCCCTTTTGACACTAAAGCTTACCATTAACAAGCTTGGAGGAAGTGGAGGAAGCAATCTAATTGCTGGATAATTTCTCAGATTAGCTGATTGTCATTTATTGCAGAGAAGAGTCTAGGAGAATAGAACATAGCACTGTTATGGGAAGATGAGGCCATACCTTCCAAAAGGATTCATTGAGCACTTAATATGTGCCAGGCACGGTTTAGATTCTGAGGATATAGCTTTGAATGAAACCGAGAAAAAAATTCCTGCCAAGTAGCATGAAGCTTTCATTCTAGTGAGAGGAGCCAACAAATTAGTAAATGATTTACCATGCTGGAAGTGAGTAAGTGCTAAGGAGAAAAATGAGGCAGCAAAGAGGGACAGGGAATGCTGGGGTCAGGGAATGGGAATGGTTCAGTGTTAAACAGAATGGTCAGGAGAAGGCTCACTAAGGTGACATTTTAGTGAAGACCTGAAGAAAGCAAGGGGTCAGACCATGCAGCTGTCTGGGGAAAGAGGACTCTGAGCAGAGGAAACAGTATGTACAAGGGCCCTGAGGAACATGCCTAGTGTGTTCGAGGAAGAGCAAGGAGGCCAGTGAAGCTGGAGCGAAATGAGTGTAAGAGAAAGTTCTAGAAAATAAGATCAGAGAGGTAATGAGGGGTGGTGGATATAGTGCAAGGCCACTATAAGGCTTTTGATTTTTTACTCTGAATGAGAAGGAAAGTCACTGGAGAGTGTTGAACATAAAAGGATTTTAACATAACTTAGGTTTAGGAGCTCTGGTAGCATAGTGCCTAAGGCATTTGACTGCTAACCAGAAGGCTGGTGGTTCAAACCCACCAGCCACTCCTTGGAAGGAAGGTTGGGCAATTTACTTCCATAGTGATACCGCCTCAGAAATCCATGGAGGGGTCGTTATGAGTTGGGTCCAACTCAACAGCACATAACAACAACAACTACAGTTTTAGCAGGAACATTCTGACTGTTCTGTTGAAAACAGACTGTCAGAAGATAGAGTGAAAGCCTACAGGTTAATCTGGAGGCTCTCGATGTAATGTGAACAAGAGAGGGCAGCATCTGGACCAGGGTAGTAGCAGCAAATGTGGTGAAAAGTAGGCAGATTCTGGGTGGGAAAAGCCATAGAGATCTTGATGTGGAGCCAGAAAGAGGCAGCAATGACATATTTTGGTCATTTCACAATGTTTGGGGTTATGCCCTGCTAGTCTACCAGATTGACATGAGTGGCCCTTACAATTAAAATCATGCTGTGGAAAAAGAAAGCCACTTCCAGAAACAGGAGCCTAGGCCCTGCCCTCACCAGCTAGGCTCCTTGCACAAGTCATTTGCTCTCTCAGGATCTAAGTTTCCTGACTTACAAATAAACTTGATTCCAATTCATAGCAACCCTACAGGACAGAGTAGAATTGCCCCATAGGGTTTTCAAGGCTGTAAATCTTTACAGAAGCAAATGGCCTCATCTCTTTCCCACAGAGCAGCTGGTGGGTTCTAATCACAACCCAATACTTTAACTACAGTGCCACCAGAGCTCCTTTTGACTTACAAATAGAACAAATATCTGACTTGCCCAAGGACCTTGGACTGTGCTCTCTGCTGTCTTGAAGTGTCTTCTCATCCTAGGATCTATGATTCTGAGTTGATGAGAGGCTTTAAAAACATCTGAAGTGTTTTTACACACAGAGCTAGGCCCTGTTCTTCAAGTAAATGGACAGTGCTGCTCTCGGGTTTCCCCTCCCTTGCACTTTCTGCCATCAACAGGACTTACGCTTGACTTGCTTCTCAGGGAGGCACCCTTGGGGTGGGGTGAGGAAGAAATTCCCAAGTGTATTACAACAGAGTGCAGCAAGAGCTTGGTCAGACACTTCTGAGGGCACATGTCAAGGTAAAAGTGCAGATACAGCATTTTGACTCAGAGCATTTGCATAACCAAGTAACATCAACTACCCCTGTCGATGCAGGCAGCCTGAAGCACTGAGCCATTCATCTGTCAGTGAAGGCTTGCATGTTGATGCTATGATGCAAAAGAGGTTTCAGTGCAGTTTTCAGACTAAGAGGGACTAGGAAGGCCTGGAGATTTACTTCCAAAAATCAGCCAACAAAAATCCTGTGGATCACAGCAACCTGATCTGCAACCAATCACGGCTGTGACCTGATTAAAGGTGTTACATCCATCCTACTCCCCTTAAAACTGATTGGCTGACCACATCAGATCACATCATGGGAGATGATTACATAATAACACCAAATCACAGCATTACATAACTGTTAAACCACCGAGAATCATGGTCCAGCCAAGTAGATACATATTTTGGGGGGACAAAATTCAATCTATGACAAAGGCATTAAGCAAAGTCACAGCTAAGATTATCCAGGCTGAACAGCATGCCATCAAGCTTTAATAAATAAAAGCCTCATCTCAGCCTGATCAGCAAAGTAAAATTTCATGTTTAGGGGTTGGAAAATGGTTCATCAAACTATGCTATTCTTTTTGTCATGGGCTGAAGATGTTAATGATGATTGTGTCAAATGCTCTTAAGTTTAGCTGTCCCATCCAGGCCACTTTTCCCCCTTTGGTCAGGTCACAAGCCACGGGACTGCTTTCCTGCCCCAGGCTCTGGGTCCACAGATTGGCTCCTGAGCTAAACTGAGCCAGGGAGGTCTTTTCTTAGGAGTCTGAAATGAGGCTACAGAATCAGAGCTCAGTTCCCTCTGGGACTCAAGTGAGAAGTACAGGAAAATGGGGTTTCACACAGCTGTATTTAGGACAAGCACAGGCACAAGGGGCTGCTGAACAGACAATTATGGGCAAGTGTGCGGAGGAAAGAAGAACAAGAGACTATGGGCCTCAGAAACTGACACACAGAATAGTCTCCATGTTGATGTTGCATTTCTTGGCCCCAGTCCATTGTAAGGCTTCTTGGCATCCATGAGGAGCTGCCATATTTACCCAGTAATTCTTTTTTATTGTTTAACATAATTGGGTAAGATTTCTATTGCTCATAACTAAATAATCCCTGAAATGTATCAATTTTGTAGGAACATGAGAAAATACTTAAGCTATAAAATAAAAAGGTATTAAATCACATATGTATTTTGTTCATCATTTTTTGGGGAAAAAATGTGTATATATGAACAATAGCATAGTGCCTAAGGCACCTAACTGCTAACCAGAAGGCTGGCGATTCAAACCCACCAGCCACTCCTGAGAAGGAAGGTTGGGCAATCTACTTCTGTAGTGAAACAGCCTCAGAAATCCAAGGAGGGGTCACTATGAGTTGGGTCTGACTCAACAGCACATAACAACAACAACAACATGAACAATGTCAGGAAGGAAAACATAAAAATACTTTTAGTGGTTTTAAGGGTGATGGAGTCCCTGGTGGTGTAAATGATCAAGCTCTTAGCTGCTAAACAAAAGGTTGGAGGTTCTAGTCTACCTGGAGGTTCCTTGAAAGAAAGGCCTAGTTGATGGTGGGATATTTTGGAAAAGCATAGTAATAATGGTGGCACTATGTGAAAAATGTCATCAATGTCACTACAATAAAAGTGAAAAAAAAGAAAGAAAAGCCTGGTGATCTACTTCGGAAAAATCAGCCATTGAAAACACTATGAAGCACAATTTTAATTTGCCACACATAAGGTCACCAGTTGTCTCAATGGCAATTGGTTATTTTCCTATGTATTTTTTTCAAAGTTTCACAAAATTATTATGGTATTCTTGAAATTTTCAAGGAAGTTGTTGAGTACTCCAGTAAATATTTACTATTTGGACTATGCAAGCTTCCATAAATAATTTCCAAACTAATAGGCAGCACAGTTGATGAACAATTATATATTCATGCAGTTATCTTAGAATTGATGCTGGAATAGGTATATGCTTAAAATGCTGAAAGAAATTGTTAACTTGAGAGCTCATCTATGCCAATTCTTTCATATTTTTACAAAAGGAAAACACATATCAAATGCACTTGCTTGTTAATTTCAGGTGGATTTAGTATCAGTTTTGCACAGGTAGGGTCCCTCCTCTAGTGGAGAAACAGCACTAGGCTTCCTAGTGGCCTCAAACACTATCACATAATCCAGAAAAGTTTTTGATGCTGAGTTCATCCAGTACCGATGAGACTTCAGAAACAGTTCCTGAGCCTTGTCCCAGTGTGACTGCCCTACTTCTCCACAGCAATTTTATTTTCCTGTGCTAATCAGTCTAACTTATATTTTCAGCATAGCTCTTGCCATCAACTATGCTTAGGCCTCACAACACCCATAGCTGGCACACTTGTGGTGCTACAGATGTTCATGTTAGAGCTGCCAGGGGCCAGTTGGTTCAAACCATTCATTGCGCAGATGAGGATACTGTGCCCCAGACAGGAGAAAGGAAGGCCCCAGGCCACCATCTCTGACACTGGTCAGTGCAAAGGGTTTATAGTCCCTCCAGCTAATCTAGAGAGTAGGCACTTTGAGATGACCCGGGACAGAAGCTAGAGGTTCTCACTTTTTTCTTCCAGACTCTGCAGAGGGCTTGGCCATGGCCTCAGCATTGTCCTTTGGTTGTCTCCCTTGAGAACTGCAGCTCATGTCTGGAACTACTTGCTCCCCATCCCAGGGATGGCCCAAAGACGCCTGCCCAGGAAAGTCTGCAGGGCTCCTTACCTCCAGAAGGTGTGCCGGCAACTCTCCTCAGGAACTTAACCCACTCCTCCATCTCTGCCTGGGAGCTGGCCATGAGGACATAGGAGTCCTGTCCTGCACGATTCTGGTACCATGAGGCTGGAGGAAGAAGGCGTACTTAGGAATATTGTGACTCCTGGGGAATCCTTTAGCTCCACCATGAGCAACTGCACTTTGAAACACCCAATTCTCAGGGTGGTTCTGAATGCCCAGGGCTTCCATGGATGGACCCTTCTGGACAGGATGTTGTTGTTGCTATGTGCTGTCGAGTCGGACCCGACTCATAGAGACCCCTCCTTGGGTTTCTGAGGCAGTATCACTACGGAAGTAGATTGCCCCATCTTCCTTCCGAGGAGTGGCTGGT